CGAATGCTTCTGACTCTACTTAATTCACCTCTTGTAGAACAGAGTTATAAATAAGTATAAAAGAAGATCAGATAGGGGAAACATTGCATCTGACTTGACATCTTGCCTACTACATCCCCAACTCTGTCTCTGATCTTGGGCCCTTTAGTTCAAGCTTCCAGTGGCCCATGCATATACCTACTACACCAATGCTCAATCTCACCACTTCCACTCTTCCACAATATCACCCTCTTCTAGTAATCAAAGCCCTGATGCCTACATATGATAAGGGAGGGGCAGACGGAGAGGGGTACTATATTTTGATTTAGAGGGTATTATCAAGCTCTTCATAGAAAAAAATTTTTCTGCCTCTGCAACATTGTTAATGCATCAACTGCTACTGTTTTATGGCATTTCTGCAAATATTTATCATGAGCACAGCACTGAGAGATGACCAATTATCCCATGAAATAATGTTTTTTCTTGCCTTTGAACACAAGACAAAACGAACTCCTTTATGTGCTCTTTAAGGAGAACCTGTGAACCATTCTTCCATTTAGTTGTAATTTCTTTTATCTTTTGGTTTTGTTTAGAGTTAGAATGTCAATACTGGCATGATTCATTTCCTCTAGTGGCATGTCCATTTGTTTATCATTAGTCAAAGACACAAAAGTGTTAGAGACACATCTGACACAGAATACCTACAGCTAAGTTAATGTCATAGATATTTTCCACCACCTTTTTTGCCACTGTCATTGCAGAAGCAGAAGAAGTTCACATGGGACTAAGGATCATCTAAAATTTTTCTTAGTTTCATGAGTTGATACAGTTAATGAATTAATTATCAAACAGCCAGCCTACTAGTAATGGATATCCTCATACTTAGGAAGGTTTGCCCTTAGAAGGTGGAGGCAATCTGTTACCCATCTCTCTTATATCCATGTAATTCGGACCATTCACCTCAAAAACAAACAAACAAACAACTGAAAGGGTACTGCTTATGGTATTATACAAATATACTCAGGATATATTATTCTAATATCCACTAGCTCAAACTACTCTAAAATAACCAAAAATTCAATTTACCTAGGCTATTGCTCCAACTACTACTCAATCTCAGCTTAAGGGACACAAGAACAATGAGGATTTCTTAACACTTTCAGGAAAAAAATCCTCTAAAGTCAAATCTATAAATTCAAGAAAAAGTCTTCCAAACCTGAGGTCAACCACTATAACTACAACAAATACTACTACTACTACTACACCAAAGCAAGTAGAAAAACACAACTACAACCACCTCAGTTCAGTTCAACGAGCATTTATTAGCTGTCTACTAAGAACTAAGAACAAGGCTAGGGAACACAAAGACAAAAAAAAAATTCATTTCCTCAAGGAATTTACATTCTGTATCCAAGAAAGCCATGTCTTTCCTAACTTGGGTTAAAAACTTTTTCAATTCTTACTGCCAAATTCATAGATTCAATCACACCTAAGTTATCAAAGTTTAGAAAGTAAAAATTGACTGAACTTAATTTAAAACATTTCTAGGACAATTTTAACAAATGAATAAATTCTACATTAATTTTACTTAAGCTTTCCATATATAATAAACCAGTTGATCTTCTACAATACCTAAACACAATATGATTTGCAAAACATTAGTCAATTACCCATGCTAATACAATTAAAGTCAGAAAAGATAATATTTTTTTCGGATGATCACAAATCTACTAAAATCAACGTTACACAACACTTACCAAATGACTGAGGGCAATTTACACTGACAAAGAAGAATACTGGTTTAATTTAACAAAATATATAGGAAGCAGAAATTCTAGTAAACTTTGTATGGAGTAAATGCTTTATTAGTCCATATGATTATTGAGAAGTAGGCTAATATTTGATGTTAAAATTTAAAACAATATGCAAAGTATATTTTAAAGAGATTACTTACAGTTTAGTAAGAGTTTATATAAGAGGCAGTGTATAAGAGTGCTGGGCCTGTAGTCAGAAGACCCGAGATAAAATCTAGCCTCAGAAACTTACTGGTTGTGTAACCCTGGGCAAGTTACTTCACCTTTGTTTGCTGTAGAGGAAGCTAGGTGGCCTTAAACCCCTTTGCCTCAATTTCCTCCTCTGTAAAATGGGCTGGAAAAAGAAATGGCAAACCATTCCAGTATCTTTGCCAAGAACACCAAATAAGGTCACAAAGAATCAGACAAGACTGAAACAACTGAACAACAAATTTAAATGTTTACATATTGGTTTTTGCTTCTGTAAAGCAATTAACTGATCTAGAGAGGATCATAGATTTAGAGGCAGAAGACTAAGAGGATATCTAGTCTAACCCCTCTCATTTAACAGATTAGGAAGTAGACCCGGAGAGTTGAAGCACCCCCCAATCAAGGTCATAAATATATTAAGTAAGAAGAGATGAAGCTTGAATTCAGGTCTTGCGACATCAAATCCAATGTTGTCCACTGCACAACACTGTTTATCTCATTTCAACTTCTCTTCTCGAGGGTTCCCCCTTAGGACCTACAGATATCAAGTACTATAATAATAATAATTTAATGTGCTTAGCTCTAACAAACCCAAACATACATTCGCAACTAGTTACACTTAAGAAAGGATTAGTTCCTTCCATTTGTTAACTCATTTCTATATTTTCTCTTTCACACATAGACCTAAATCTGTTCACATACTAATCTCCTGGATCTCTTTTGCATTATTTTTTTTTTAAGTTTTTGTTCCAATATATTTGCTCTTCAAATTATTAACAGCACTGCTTAAAGTTAATTTGGGGCAGCTAGGTGGCGCAGTGGATAGAGCACCAGCCCTGAAGTCAGGAGGACCTGAGTTCAAATCCGGCCTCAGACCAAACACTTGACACATACAGGCTATGTGACCTTGGGCAAGTCACTTAACCCCAATTGCCTTACCAAAAAAACCAAATTATTAACAGCACTTCGGTATTCTACTGCATTGATATACAATAATATAGTCATTCACCATTTCATTAGTGGTGTTTGTTTAGTTTGTTTCAAGTTCTTTGGAATTACAAATAATGTTGTGTTTATTTATAAATACATATACATATATCTAGATATATATGGACAAACATATAGATATAAATCAGATCTCTTTTTTCATGACAACATTTTTAAAGTACACTCACAAAAATGTAATCACTGGGCCAAAAGATATGATGATTTTTATGACTTACTTTATCCAACCAGATAGTCCTCCAAAAAGACTCTGCTAACTTGCTATGCCAGTAGGCGTATAAGTATACCTATTTCTCAGCAAGTCCACAAACATTACATTATTGCTTTTACTTCTGCCAGTTTGATAGCTGGGAAATATTACTTTAAAACTGTTTTAAATTGCATTTCTGAGTATTAACCAGGCAAAATTTTTTTTCAAAAAAATTTTAACAATATGTGTAGACTTGGCTAGTCAATGGTGACTTTGTATTGTCCTTAAATAGTCATAATGATTCCAAATTTTAGATTTAAGTTTTTATCTCATATGTTCGTTATAATTATTTCTCTCAAAATCTAGGATTTTTCTTGATTATGTTTTTGGGGGCAAACTATTAATGTAATTAAATCTATCCATCTTTTCCCAGTTTGATGATTTAAAATGCATCTGTTCTTCACAAGTGTAAAATATTTATTCTCTTTTACCCTCCAATTTTTTAATAGTTCATTTCCTTATATTTAATTCTATGATCCAGAGAGTAGGCCAAAAGAATTAAGGCAATGCCTCAAGGTTAACTGGATTTGATTTATGATACCATCAGACACTATCTTTACAGTACAATGAGACTAAGAAAAGAATCTCTTTTCAACATACCCTTCCAGTCCTATCTTATAACCATTCCCCTTTATGTACTCTATCTTCCAATTAAAAGGGATTATTTCTGTCCCTTAACCACATACTGCACTTTCCCAACTTTATACTGTCTTGGGAACACCCTCCTCTCTACATCTCTGTCTACTAAAATGATTCCTGTTCTTCAGGGTTCAGCTCAAATGTCATCTCCACAATGATATCTTCCCTGAGCTCTACAACTAGAAGTAAACTTTCCATCTGGCAAATTCATACTGCCTCATTCATACAAATTATTCACTTACCTATAATACCCACCCAAAAAAAGAACATATTATTTGAGTATAAGTCCTATCACCCCTACTAGATGATTCATTCTGGGAAGATGTGAGCTTGTCTTGATTGTATTCTACATTGTTGTATTATTATCTTTGTATTTTCCTTGTGCCTAGAATAGTAAGTGGTTGATAAAAAATGTTTGGTGAATAAAAGAAAAAAAAAGCTTAGTGAAATTACAATAGTACTTTAAATACAGACAATGCTACCTTTAAAGTCTTCATGAGGGGTAGCTAGGTGGAGCAGTGGATAGAGCACCGGCCCTGGGTTCAGGAGGACCTGAGTTCAAATTTGGCCTCAGACACAAAACACTTAATAGCTGTGTGACCCTGGGCAAGTCACTTAACCCCACTGCCTAGCCAAAAAAAAAAAGTCTTCATGAAAAAATAAGACTTCTTGATATTAATATTTCCCTTTTATTATTTACTAGAAGCAATAATATCATTAGAAATTTTAAAATAATAATGTACTTTGGTGAGAAACCTCTGCACCTACCAGAATCTGAGCAGGTTCCACCCAGGAAATAACTCCCCAACTCTCTCACCTCAGTTTCCCTCATCTCACCTACCTACATGTCATAAGAACAGTCTGATAAACATGCAAGGGGAAAAGAAATAACATGTATTTTTGCCCAAAGGCTGACACTCTTTTAAATAGTGAAATTATAAAAATATTCCAATTTTGGTGATTCTTATCACTAAGTGACAAAATTTATTTTCTCTGAAGATTTTTTTTGTTAGAAATGTTCTAAGAAAATGATCTAACGCTTGGTAGAGTTTTCCAAATTCAAAGAACTAAAAATAAGTTTTATGTATTCATTACATAACTTATAAATTCAATAGGATACAAACCTCATCTCTGTGCTTCTGACAGAAGACCAAAAACTGAGACCCTGAATCTCCTTTTCTGCTTCGTGGAGTAGATGCCGCAGCCTTCTTTCTACCAACAGGAGAACCCAATCCTCTTTTTGAATCTGCCTGTTCAGCTGCCCTTTGAGGAGTAACGTTTTTAGTCCCTGAATCACTTTCCTGGATATCTGTATACGGTGGTAATTTTGATCTCCTCCTCCTCTTGATGGGGATGCCTAATTCTTTATGCTTTGGAATTTGAGAGGTTTCTTCACTTACATCTGAAGATTCATCTACTTCCTCTAATGGATCCACAGCAATACCAGCTTCCTTAGCTACTTGAGGATTAAGGTGAAGTCGGTCCCTAACATAGACGAAGGTAAACTTGGCTTTCCGCTCTTCTACTGTCATATTCACTGCTTCTTTTGCTTGAATAATACCCATTTCCCATTGGGCCCTCAATTTCCCTGAAATAGGTTTCAATAGCTGAAAGAAAATAGAAGAAGTTATGAATACTTAAGAGACACGAAACTATATATTAAGGAATGGCAAGTTTAGTTAGGAGCAATAAAGGACTAGCAAAACATTTTAACTGATTTTTCAAAGTCAAGAACTCAGTCTCCAATTTGCAGTAAGCTCTCCATTTTCCCCCTACACTAAATTTAAGATATTTGTACATATGAAGAAAAAAAAAAGACTAAGAGAATATTTATTTAGCTTGAGTGTTATAGTGTCCATGAAAAAAATTTAAAAGTATACATAATTAAATTTAGGCATATTTTAACAAAGCATTTTTAGACCAATGTGTAATATTTTTTTAAAAGGACACCTATCACAACTAGCCCTCTATCATACAATTCAGACATTTGTGAATTCTACAAGATTAAAATGCTACAAATACTAGTTATAGCCAATACTTCAAGGATCTGTACTTTCATTGTATAAAGGTTTTTGAGAGATGATAGAAATGAAAATTTAATTTCTTTGAAGCCAGCCTGGTGATAAGCCTCTCCAAACTTGACAAGGCCAGTTACCGACCACAGATAAGTGATTCATGCCCAGTCTTAGAATCCCAAGGCCCTTCAAGATCTTGTGCTCCATATAAAATCAACATCAAACTGCTACCATCTTAGGGAGAACAGGAAAAGAAATGAAGGTAGAGAAGACGGGAGAAATTTTGGAACTCAAAATTTTGTTTTAAAAAAATGACTATTGGACAGGCTGAGGAGCGGGCTGAGCCGGCGCTGAGGCGAGAGCAGCAGCGATGCTGAACAAGTCGCTGGGGCCGTGCTACAATGAGCTGATGAAGTACTGGCTTCCCACAGCAGGCACATGGGGTGCTGTTGGTGGCGTGGGGCTAGTTTGGGCCACTGACTGGCATCTGATTCTTGATTGGGTGCCATACATCAATGGCAAATTTAAGAAGGACAAGTAAGCTAACTTTTCAATCTTATGGTCTAGGGATGGAGGACTTTTTGGGGACTGCTCTTCTTGGGAATCCTGATCGAACACAAATGTGAAATGCTCAGGAAGGACTCCAAGGACCTCTCAGTGACAACCTTTGATGTATCACTTGTATAGGGATAATTAAACCTCCCTCTGAAACATGCTGGCTGCTTAGGTATTGAGCACAGGAATAACTATGACAACAGATTGAATTATGCTGGATTTCACAGTGACATATGGAATTAAAAAAAAAACCACCAAGGTAAAAAAAAATGACTATTAAAAATTGTCTTTACGTGTAGTTAGAAAAAATAAAATACTATTAAAAAGAAAGAAAAAAAAGAGCTTGTGCTCCACTGGCAAAGGCTTCTAGAACCCAAGGACCTCTCCACACCAGGATAAGGCTTCAAAAGAGGCTATTTGTGGGACTTCACAAAAGATTTTTCTTCTAGAAGTTTTTAGTAACATTGATTACCTTGATTTTCTCAGCTTTTGTGGGTGCCTGTTTTGCACTTTCCTGGCATAATTTTTCGAATTGCTCTTCTCCTTCAAATGATACAAGGCTCTTCTCAAATATCCAAGCTCTTTCTGGAGCATCACCAAAGAACTGTACATGATATTGGCGAGCACTCTTTTTCTGTCCTAATTTCACAAAGAAAATAAATGTGCATTAGAAAAAAAAATAGATGTTGAAAGAAAACTGGGGAAATATCTAATTGTTTTTACATTACACAAGTGAAAAAAACACCAAGTTGCCTTATACTTTGTTAGCAAATTCTGTTCTCACCAAAAGACTATGCAACTGATATCTTATTTTCCAAAACAATAGCAGTGGAAAAAACTCTGAGGCAACTAAAAAATGATAAAATATTCAGAAGTGATGGAGGTGAAAGATTATTTAACAAGCAAAGTTTTGACTTAATTTGCTGGCTAGATCAATACTATAGAATTAAACCAATTTTACTGGGGAATTAAACGATCTTTAATAACTTTTGGAGGTCACTTATTTAGGCACCTACAGTATACAAATTTGTGTAGGTTATTTGGAGAATTGATAAAAGGAGATTAGAGATAAGGGATGCAACCAATTTTAAATGAAAAAGTTAATATTGTTTTAGTACACTACCTAACAAAGTGTCAGAGGGATAAGCTGCCATTTGAAAATAAAGTACTGAAGGAAATAAGATTCTGATTATTAGTCAGAGACTTGAAATAGGGAGGATTCGGGAATGCTCCAGAGAAAGGAATTGAACAACAAATCTCCTGTTCTTAGAAAAATGCTACAAATCAAAACTGAATGACACAATGAGTAATGATCTAAAGAAATTGAGATTTAGAGTACTATGAACAAATGGGAGTCCTCTCAAAGAGTAAGAATAATGTCCTCAAACTATTGGAGGGTATAGAAAGACAGATAAAGTATTCAACAATAAAGTTGTCACATTCTAATTCAACAAGCATTTATAAAATGTCTAATTTATATAAGACACAGTGCTCAGCACTAAAGATACAATTTAAAATAGTCCATGACCTAAAGAATTTTATAACCTACTGGACAATTCAATATGATTGATAAATATAATTTGAGGAGGAAAAAAGCACTAACAACTAGAGCAATCAGGAAAAGATTCCTAAAAGGGGACATAAACTGAACCTTAAAGAAGTGAAGGCTCCCAAGAGGCAGAAGTAAGAAAGTAGTGAAGAATCCTTAGAGAAGTCAGGAATGAATGCATTCCAAGCACTTGGGGAGAGAGCCTGTACAAAGTAATGGAGATCAGTGATGGCAAGTCATCTTTGGGGAAAAGTTAACATGTCAGTGTGCATGTGAAAGAGAAAATAAAGTAGACTGAAGACAGACTGTAAAGAACTTTAAATGCCAACCAAAGAAGTTTCTATTGTGCAGAAGGTGGATGGCAAAAGAAGAGGCTAGAATCAGGGAGACCAGTTAGAGGACTATTATAGCAGTCCAGGAAAGAAGTAAAGAAGACCTGAATGAGGATGGATGGAACTGTGAATAGAAAAAAAAAGGGATGAATAAATGAATGTAGAGGTAAGAAGAAAAGGCTTGACAACTGACAGAAAAGGTAGAGAAATAGGAAGATTGGAGGAGGGTTACTTTGGGTGTCGAAGCAGAAGATTATAAAGAGAATAATGGCATCTTAGGAGAGAGGGGAACAAATACTCAACTTTAGGAAACAACAGTTAAGATTAAAATCAAAAGGTTTTAACTTTTTAAAAGGGTCAATCTCAGGAATCTCGGACATATCTGATAGGAAAATCTAAGCAAAACAGTACACCAAGTATCAAATATACCACACAGTTAATTGAGGAGTGTGGGAAGCATTATACAAACCTAACACGGCTAATGAGCAGAAAAAAAAAAATCTTTCACAAAAAAGAAAGGTTACTCAAGTGAGAAGAGGCAAGCCCACGAAGTATGGTAGGTCAAATATCAAACTGTAAGTTAGACCACCTAAAAATAAACCTCCTATGTTCATACTGCCTCTACTTAACTTGAAATGTTTTTCCATCTTTTTTTTTTTTTTTTTGCCACAAGGCCCAGCATATGCTCCATTTCCTTAAACTGTTCCTTGACTGCCCTATCTCTTCCTTCTACCAAATTCTGTACAACTACTGATCTGTACCAAACACAAGTGATTTGACAATATAAAACCACGGGGCAGCTAGGTGGTATAGTGGATAGAACAGCAGCCCTGGATTCAGGAGGACCTGAGTTCAAATCTGGTCTCAGACACATAACACTTGCTGTGTAACCCTGGGCAAGTCACTTAACCCCACTGTCTAGCCAAAAAAAAAAAAAAATATATATATATATATGTAAAACCAGTCTATATATTTTTAACATGTGTTATTCTCTTCAACTAAGCTTTTCGAGGACTTCTTAGGATCAAGTCATAGGACCTAACACAATGCTACAGCAGGCACTATTATTACCCTAATATTTACAGTTGAAAAAGAACCAATAACCAATTGGTCCAAAAACCAATAATAGAGAGGTGACCAGCCATAGAATTACCAGAATTACCTGATAACCATGGTGACAAGAGTTAACAAAGAAGACAACATATAAAGGACAATGGCTGGATGTACCAGCACAGTAAAAGGGAATTTCAGGAACTCAGGGCCATGGAATAATTTTGGCAGGCCTATAGGGTAAATAGACTGCATTTCTTTAAAAAACTATCAACAAACATGAAAGTGCTTTAAATATCTAAAAACAAAAATAAAATTAAAACAGTTCTTAGGTTTCATTTTGCCACTCAAACTGGACACTTTTGGTGGAGCTATGAATTGATCATACTTTTCCAAAAACAATCAGAAATTACGTGAGAGAAGTTACCAAATTGCTCACAGCCTTTGAACCAAAAATCCCACTACTAATTCCAGGCCAATGACAGAAAGGTACCATATATATATATCAAACATTCTTAGCAGCATTTTTCTGTAGTAGGAACCTTTTGTGCCCCAAAACTAGAAACAAAACAGGAGCCCATTAATGGGATGACGGATAAACAAACTGAGGTGTATGAATGTTATGGGAAATTTTTATAGCCGATGGATAATGAATACGAAGATTTCAGAGAAATGAGGGAAGGCTCATACGAACTGATGCAGAAAGAAAACAGTAGAACTAGGAGAAAAACATACACAACTTACAATAATATAAATGAAAATAAATTTAGAAGACAAAATTCAGATAAGATGCAATAACCAATACTGATTCAGGATGACTGATGTCAGGAAATGCTTTCTTTTCAGTAGAGAGGGCAGACTAAAGTTACAGAAGATTCACATAAGTAAGTAGTCAATCACAGTCATCAGCTGGTATTACTTAAGTGTTTTTGTGGAGTTATTAGATAGTAATGGTGGTATAGAAACAAACCAAAATGCATTAATAAAAACAGAAAATAAAATAAGGGAAACTTGGGACCAAAGCAGTGAAACAAAAGCTTAGAAGAGTGAGTTTGGGGGCAGCTAGATGACGCAGTGGATACAGCACCAGCCCTGGAGTCAGGAGGACCCGAGTTCAAATCCAGAATCAGACCAGACACTTGACATTGACACTTACTAGCTGTGTGACCATGGGCAAGTCACTTAACCCCAACTGCCTCGCCAAAAAAAAAAAAAAAAAAAAAAAAGTTAGTTTGTAGATACTTGGACAAGAGTAGGAATCTGTCCTTTCTTCTTTCCTAATACCTTTCCTTATTTTGTTTCTCTGCTTTTCTACTTCTCTGGGCTGTATGACATGCTCTCCTTCCCCAGATATTGCTTTATTCCTCAACTGGCTGCAATATGAAAGTGAAGTATATTTTATATTAACACAATAAAGTATATGCTATTTTGAAAATCAAAGACTCAGAAAAAAATCCTGTTGAGGATTAAGGGGAAACTTGGTGCTTTTTCTTTGAATCCCACCACTTAATTAGCACAGTCCCTTGGCACATACAAAGAGTTTAGTAAATGCCTGAAAACAAATTAAAAAAAAAACAACAACAAATTAAACAAATTAAAAACAAAAGAAAACCCCAAAAGTGGTCACAAAGAACTGGACATGACTGAAACAATCAAACAACAACCACCAATGTTTATTAACTGACTGCCAGCTTACATCTCAGTTAACAGATGAGAAAACAGGACCAGAGCTGTTAAGTGATTTGCCCAAGGTCACAAAGTGTTAATGACTAAAACAGGATTAGAACTCAGGTCCTTTGTCATTCAATCTACTCCTCCTTTCTTTCAACCCCTGATAGAAAGTAATCATTTTGTTTTATTTGTTTCTGGTCTTTAAATGAGTCTTTGATGTGAATCAAAGGCTTTCAACAGAAAAAAAGTTTCTCCACCCTGGTTCCATTGCTTGCTATTAATATTTGGGCAAACTTTATGCAATGTATGGACAGGAGTAAAATCTAGTGCGTCCAAGAGCTATCCTGGTAGCTGACTTTACCTTTCTACATAAACTCAAATGAAATTTAAAAACTGCAATCTTAAGGGCAGCTAGGTGGCGCAGTGGATAGAGCACCAGCCCTGAAGTCAGGAGGACCTGAGTTCAAATGTGACCTCAGATCAAACACTTGACACGTACTAGCTGTGTGACCTTGGGCAAGTCACTTAACCCCAATTGCCTTACCAAAAAAAAAAAAAAAAAAAAACTGCAATCTGGCAAAGGTTATGTGGACACATGCTATGATAATGAAAAACTTAATGTTTCTTTAGAGAGAGACAGATAAGCAGGTTAAAGAACCACAGCCTCAAACAACTTGGTATTTTAGGCAGTATACCCCATTATACTGTGGTCAAGGGCCAAAAGGGAGCCTAGATTAGGCTTCTTTGATCCTCAACAACACCCAAAAGGTTCAGGGATAGGTCACTACAAACATTTTTGAGCACTCATGTACAAAGCATTATATTGTTACTGTAAATACTGCCCTTCCCCTACCGAGATATAACCTACCAAGTTTATAATCAAATTAAAAGAAATATCATATGTGTATGTAGGGGTGTGTGTGTGTGTGTGTGTGTGTGTGTGTGTGTGTGTGAACTTAAGCAATTACAGAGACATTTATCGCAAAACACTAAATGAAGTTGCAAAATATGGGAATTTTATAATCATCAGGAAATGTTTCCAAGAAACAATGAATTCAATGAATATGATTTGGAAAAGTGTGAACATGAGTTAAGGTACATGGACACAGGTAAAATGTATTCCCTAGTTAAAGTTTCCTCAAAGTGAATGTAACACAGATTACATTAAAAAAAAATCACCTATTTATGAACAACAGCATCTACCTGGCCCTAAGAAAAAGCAGAAAAACTAACTCAAAGATTATATAGCAAAAAGAAGTTATAAAATACATATGAAAACTAGAGTAGGAAAACAAAGATTGGTAAAGGATGAATGAGAAAAGTAAGGAGAAAAAAAAACAAACAACCCAACCCACATTACACCCTACCTTTTAGTTTGGTATAGCTGTGAAGGAGAGGATCTGCTGAAACCATACATGGCCACCAAGGGTATCCTGAAACTTTTGACCATACCAAATCTCCAACATTGTACTTCAACAGATGGTCTTTTTCTTTGTTGATGTTTGGATATGACTCTCTCTTAGATAGAATCTTCAAACAAACAAACAAACAAAATGTATGAATACTAAATCATCAAAAACTGTTGTAAAGTTTTCCATTACGCAAATGTTTTCTGAGTCTTATTTAACACTTCCTCACAGAAGATGGCAGGTATTGTTAGCCACAGGGAAATGAAATTGAACAGTTCCACAATCTAATAGCAACTACACTTAAACTTCTCCCATCCCTTCCCATTTGAACTCCCAAGCTACTGATTAACATCATAGGTAAATTTGTTCCACATCTTTCCCACCCCCTTTGGAGCAATCCTTTATACTTGCTAATTTATTAGAGAGCGTTTGAGCAGAAGAGCTCCACAAAGTATCAAATAACATGAAAAAAATTTTTTTTAAAGTGTTAACAGAGCTGCTGCAGTATTTTTCATCATTATAGCCAGTCCCACCTAGATTATTAAGTGAATGTATCTTCTGCGACATACCTACTTAAATAAGATATCTCCTCCCATCTCATTTTCTCAATAATTCTTTCATTGTCTTCTCTTCCTACTGTAAATGCTTATGCTTTTAAATATAGGAGAAAGAAAATATCCTCCAAATCCTACTCAATAGAGGAATGATTACTGAATTCCCCAGGAAACCCAGGGACTGAAAGAAGCTAGAGGTCTCCATTTTTAATTCCACTGGCAAAGAAAAGCAACTTCTGTCTACTCCCTAGCTTCTACCCCTATTAATTAGTCATTAGGGATACTGAAGATCCCACAGAGGATTACACTTGATGTAATCAATTGATGTGGTTCTTCATGATTTAAGTCACAAGGAGACAAATTCTTTCAGATTCTTTAGATAACCTAGTTCTCTATACGAAGTCTCAACTTTAATATACAAACATAATTTTCATCTAAACCCCTCTATTCTAATTACTCTCTGATAACACAGCATAAGAAATGACACATTCAAATATAATGCAACCATAAATTTATCAGAGTCCTTTATAAACTAAGAGCTTAAAAAGTCATCTGTATGTTGGGGAGAGCACATTTTGCCAGTATTACCTCTATTTTTCTATCTTCTTACCCTAAATGGGGTTTCTCTCGTGATATGTAAGCCAAGCTCTCTCCATGGCCCCTTGAAGTCTATAAGTCTATGGCCATGTCTGGGAAGCTAGCTGTCTCTTTAAACCTACTTTTCCATCCTTCCCCCAGAATTACCTTTTTTTCAGAGGGACTTGAAGCCTTAGACACCAAAGCTGCTTCAACAAGGCCCTGTTCAAGTAAGGAATCATACTTTATGCTCCTTTTCCTATTCCTTCTTGACTTGTTTTCTAGTTTTTGTTCATTTTCTTCTGACTGGGACACATCTGGACCATTGTCTCCACAAATAGAAGATTCAAAGAGAGGTTTTCCATTCATGTATGTTTTGGTGATCTTCAGTTTAATCTCAGGAGAGCCATTTTTGATAGGAGTAGTGTGAGGGGGTGTTCCAATTCCCTTTATTTCTTGGGATTCAAAGCGCAGCTTGGCATCTTGGGCACCAGATTCCCCATTGAAGACACGAGAGGTTAGATCTTTCAATTTGTCTGCTGGAATGAATGGTAGAGCTTCATGGCCATTAAATTTTTGCATGACACCCTCTGGTAGGGTAGTAGAAATCTGGGCTTTGCTGAGAAACACTGAACATTCCCGATTGACTTCACAATTCTGAGTCTTCCCATTGGTATTTCCAAGGATCTCTGGAACTTGCTTCATTTTTCAGCTGACTTACAATTTTCTGAGTTATTGATGGAAAATTTCTTTTATTACTAAAGTTCATTCAGTCCAGATGCTTCCAATATTACAACACTATGGTTAAAAAAAAAAAAAAAGGTTTTTTTAGACCCTCAAACAAGTATCTTGACATTTTAATAAAAGAAGCACTTGCCTATTTATTAGGCTTTATATTTTAACTTAGGATGTAGGTTATGATAACTATAAGTAAGCTGTCATTGGTCATCTTCCAAAACAAATAACATCTCTCACTCCCCAAATTCAATTCACTCTCTCTCACAGAGCCCCCATTCAATGTGTTGCCAAGGCCTGTCAATTTCACCTTTGCAACATCTCTTCAATATGGCTCCCACTCCCCAACCCAGGCTCTTATCACCTCAAGCCTGTACCACTGCAATATCCTAATGGTAGCTCTTCCTGCCTCAAGTCCCTCCCTTCTCCAATCCATCCTCCTTTCAGCCACTAAAGTGTTTTACTGAAATGCAAGTCTGATTATGTCATCCCCGAACTCAAACTCCATTGGCTCCCTATCCTCTCCGAGACCAAATACAAAATCCTCTTGCATTCAAAGCCCTTCATAACATAGCCTTCTCCTATCTTTCCAGTCTTCTCACAACTTTTCCCCCAGACAAGTACTCTTCAGTGCAGTGACTCTAGCCTCCTGAATGTTGCACCAACAAGATACTCCATCTTTTGGATCCAGGAATTTTCTGTGGCTGCCCTGATGCCTAAAATTTCCTCCCTCCTCATCTCCACCTACTGCTTTCCCAAGCTTTCTTTAAGTCCCAACTACAATCCCATCTTCTACAGGAAATCTTTCCCAATATCTATTAATTCTTCCCTCTTTTAATTATTTCGTCGTTATCCTATATTTATCCTTGTTTGCATATATTTGTTGGCTGGTTGTATCCTCTATTTGACTTTGAGATCCTTGAAGGCAGGGATTGTCTCTTCCCCTTTTTTGTATCCTCAGTGCTTAACACAGTGCTGACACATGGTAAGTGCTTAATAAATGTTTACTAACTGCCTGGATAGTGGTACTGGTAAAAAGAAAATCCAGTAATGGAAATGAACTAAGTTTATTATTCAATTAAAAACACAGACACATATAACTCCTATTAAAACAAAGATGAAAAAAAATTATTAATGTTTTAGAAAAACCCTTATAAACTGCTTTCTAGGCATGTGCCAAAAATAGATAATTAAAGTTAAGTATAATAAGAGAGAAATAATATTTTCCTTGACAAACACTCTAGTATACTTGACCCTTCTTTTCAAGAAGTTTGGGCACCTTAAAACCATTTATTTTCTTTGCCCAACTCTGATGTTAATTAGTATGGATTCTTACCACCAATCTTTGTCCCTTCTTCAAAAGGCAAAAATGGGCCAGCTATAGTTACTGTTACATAATAACAAATTGACAAAATCATAAAGGATGAGAAGAAAATAGAAAAAGGCTAAGCTGGCAACAAAAGTTCAGTTCCCAAAATGCAATACTCCTTTTTATTATAGTTCCTAACCCTATACCTTTCAGGTATAACACCACAGGCCTACACTTTGAGGATGTCAAGAGATTCTATAAAGGTTGTGGTTAACAATGACATGTGATACAGGAGAACTTCACTAACCTAATGGATCATTAGGCCAGGAAATCTTTCTTTTCTCTTAGGTTTATCTTAATAAATACAAATTATTTCCCATTTGTAAGAGAAACATTAGAGCTATATATACAAAAGACAAAAATTCAATAAAAATAGGTCTTCAAAAACAGACTCATTGGAAAGGATAAAAATGTTACTAGTACAAACATTTACTGAACATTGGCACTATACTACACTATGGGCAGCCTCTTACAGAGTAGCTTGCACTCAGTAATTAGTATTACATTTTCTTCAATTCAAAATGACTCAAATATCTGCAAAATAAAGCTTTCAAACCTGAAGAATATAATTTAATAGATTTAGAGCTAAAAGTGACCTCAGAAATCATGATCTGATATCTAACACAGAGCCTCGTACTTAGCATGCATTTAAGCTTTGTTGAATGGAACTGAAAATTAGTACTTAATCAAAGCCTATTATAACCATGCCAATCTACAGTTTTTTTTAATTCTACAATTTTGCCTGCATTTATTAGTGTTCACTCATAAAAAAAAAAAACTTTAGATGTAAGAACACTTATAAATTACTGGCAGTTAATTTACATGACACAAATAAGTGCAGTTATTTTAAAAACACATATACTGCAGTTTTAAAACAACTGTAAAAATATCCTTTGCCTTTGGGCACTTAGGGTGTATTTAAAATCTTCCAAAGGAGTTTCCAGTAGAAATTAAGCCCTTCGAGGGCAGGGATAGTTTAGTTTCAGTTTTGTCTTTATGAACCTTCCACACCGCCCCCCACCAAGCATCTATTATATATGCTTACTATGTGGTTAGGAGCTTCGCACAGAATAGGAATATGATAGATGCTTAATTAATTGAAAGTAGGTCAAAATAGATTTTTAAAAATCACTTATTAAAAAGCTTAAATAAGTTAGATTAAGGGAAAGGGATGCTAAAAAATTTAGACCTTTGAGAGGCAAATTACAAAAATTATTCCATATGCTATTAAAATAAGGCCAGTTCAAATCTGGCCTGGGATACTTACTAGTTATGTGACCCAGACAAGTCACTTGACCCAGTTTGCCTCATCAGGCTACATTTCAATTTTATCCAAAGCAATGAGGAGGTGTGAGTCATTGAAGGTTTTAAAGAAAGCAAGTTTGGTTATCAGAGTTGTACATTAGGAGAATTAACCTGGCATCTCTGTATGGGATGGACTGGGTGAAAGACAATTCTCTCAAAAGGCTACTGCAAAAATTCAGGTCAACAGAAATGAAGGGCCAAATTATAGTAAAGTAGGTGATCTGAAAGAAGAGAACATTCACAGATATTAAGGAGAATTAACAAAACAAAGCAACAGAGATTTAGGAAGACAGAAATATAAAACAATAGTTTTGTTTTAGCATTGATTGATTGGTGGTGTCTGTGACAGAAATAGTGAACAAGAAATGATATTAGGAGAGAGGATGAGTTCAGTTGGGGATATATTACATTTTTATTACTGGGTACAATTCAATAAACATTTGTCAGGCACTTACTATGTACCAGTCACTGTGTTAGGCCCTGTGGATACAAAGGCGAAAAAAATAAATAATAATAATCCCTGCTTCAAGAAGCTTACATTCTACTGGCATTTAGGGATTGGAAAAGGGGATTAGAATTTAAATACTGATTAGTAAATACAAAGTACATCCAAAGTATATACAAAGTAATACACACTGGGAGAGAGCAGCAACGACAAAGTAACTTAGTAACTTAAATCCAAATGATTTATTGTGGCATTCTAAATGGTACATTGTTAAATTAATTTTTAAGACAACTTCTCACTCAAAAAGTATTTTTAAAAAAACATTAAAAGAACACCAACATCTGGTTTAAGGATAAATTAACCTATTACATTTATTGGTCTATTGCCTCCACTTTCTTATGAAATCTGTCCAACAGATGAACAAGACTTCAATAGGTTTTTCTCCCCAAAAGGGAACAATATATACAGCAGTATAGCAGCTAAGTGAAATAAATACCATTTAAGTTAACAGTACATTGACAGGGTAATCGCTAAATAGAGCTGACTCCTGGGAAGAAATCAGTAATTGTCAATTGCTAGGCAAAGCAGACCAAGAAAACGTATCTTATATAAATGTTTCCATCTTAAAAGAGTTCAATCTTCTCAAGATTGATTAAGGATTCACATAAGCATTACCTTTCAAAACCTACCTATAACTTGCTTGGGATGAAAGGATTTAGAGCTAGAAGGGACCTTAGACAACATGTAGTCAAATGTCTTTGTTTTAGAGATGAGAGAATATGCGTAGGGAGGTGACTGGCCTAAGGTCACAGAAATATTAGGTATTAAAGGCCTAAGTGCTTACTATATATTAGGTATTAAAGGCCTAAGTGCTTACTATCTGTGTGACCTTAAGGCAAATCACCTCCCTTGACCTCAGTTTCCTCATATGAACCTAAGTAACTTGCCCAAGGTCACACAAAAAACAGCAGAGCTTTAAATTATTACACTTTGCCATGATGCCAGTCCTTGGCTTCCTTCTTCAACTTCAGCTTCAAACTTAATGGTAGTAATTCTAAAGATCTAGAAAAACAGATAATCTAACATCACAATAAGGAAAGAATGATGAAAAGCAAAGGGAAATAGAAAGTTAATTCTAAGCACCTCAGGAAATATTAGCACTAAGTATCTTCCAGCTCAAAAACAATAATGCTTTATCTCTCTCTAAAACAAACAGGGAACTAAAGATAAATGATCTGTTTGTTCATAAAGAAGTTAACAGTTCATTCAAAGATATGATCTTCATGTCTGAAAAATTATTTCACATTCTAGCTGTTTGGCTTTTGATGTAGTAGCAGGAGTAAAATAAACTGGTCACTCAACAAGCCCTATAACAGAGATTCTTAACCATAAACTAAGTTCATAAATTATGTCTATACACTTAAAAAAAAAACCCTACTTTGACAACTATATTTCAAGATAATTGGTTTCCTTTTTAATCCTGCACATTTTACTTTATGCATTTAAAAAAAAATTTTTTTTCTGAGATAGGATCCATTGGCTTCACCAGACTTCCACAAGAGTCCATGACACAAGAAAGATTAAGAACCCATGCCCTCTAGGGAATGGCATTCAGTTAGGTGAAAATGAAGTTTAACAGGATAATCCAAGATTTAGGAGCTTCTACATTAAGGGACTGGAGGGCAAAGGAGATAGGATTACAACCAAGAATCACCTACCCAGTAAAACTGAGTATAATCCTTCAGGGGAAAAAATGGTCATTCAGTGAAATAGAGGACTTTCAAGCATTCCTGTGGAAAAGACCAGAGCTGAATAGAAAATTTGACTTTCAAATACAAAACTTAAGTGGAACTCTTATATGAAGAGATAAACAGGAAAGAGAAATCATAAGAGACTTATTAAGGTTGAACTGTTTACATTCCTGCATGGCAAAATGATATTTA